ATCCAACATGTTCATGTTGGATGCTGTGGTCCTTGGAAGGACTACAAAGTGCTACCAGGTGTAACGGGGCACACCCTTGCGTGAACTTAACGCAAGGGTATCGTACCTCTACAAGCGTACACAAGGCAAGCGAGGAAGCGTAGGATAAGGAAAAGTATACCTGTTGTATTAATATAATTAAGTCTTTTTGTTACTGTCTCTCTGTTTGACTTAACTTAATTATGTTGATCTAACTGAGTGTATGGTGACGTCTCGTCACCACTCATTGCGCGCGTCTTGCGGCGATTGGTGGGTTGATATCGTCAAGATATCAACCAATGAGCAGACCATTTGGTCGCTTCACCAATACCACCATAATCGGTGATATTGTTCAAAGAATATTCAACTTAATATTCTTTATTGTCATTCTTTCTTTAAAGTGACAATTTCCATGTAACGGGCTGCCCCGTTGCAACCCCATCATATCAAAGTTCGCGACCGCTGCACTGCCTTTGTGCCATATAGATCCGATAAACAAGCATTGTTCGTTCTCTTCAGGCTGTTTCACGTGTTGGATGCCAATGGTCGGGCGTTTACGTGAGCACACGAACTAACGTGCCCGACGACAGAGTTTGTAGCATAGCGGTTGGGGCGTACGCTTCGTCGGGAGTGGTCTGCTGCAACATACCCGATGTTACCCGATACTACTCACGGGAGTCAAGACGCATCAAACGAATTGATCAAAGGCGCGTTTTCGCGCAGCTGGTACATCACCGAAAGCACCAGCAAATATGTACTTTCTTCGACAGAATCAACGATGACAAGAGCTATTATTGCTGAGGATAGTTATTTGGGGGCATCCCGGAGTTCTGTCGTATTATAAACGTTCTGCAGCGCGAGAAGAGCTGGCGCGGCTGTCGTCCATGCTGTTCAGAATGTGAAAGACCAGTAAAAGCGCCTTATATGGCAGAAATGGTGCCACTGTCGATGTAGAGCGAGAGCCTGAGGGATCCAGCGTCACCAGTGGGAAAGACCGTTTGGCGCAGAGACAGGATATGAAAGTAGCCGAATACAGATTGACCGTACAGCGCAGAGACGGGACAAGCTGACGCCGCATACTTATCGATACAAAACGCAAGTGCTGTGGAATCTGAAGCCCCCATTACTCCTGGACTTCAAGCTGCACCAGCACGTTTTGCCCGGATCTTTTCGGCTGACAATCTGGTCGATCAGATCCGTGTTGACCACTTCCATTTTACAAGCACAAACACAGTGTAAAGGACGAGACTGTATTTATGTCCACTGGCCACTTATACCACCTGCCTGCTTTACCAAGAGCGTTGCTTGACTTTGTGTCAGTGCCTGACGATCGCTTGATTTCTCCCGCTGCTAATAATGGGCTGATGGTTGACGTCACTGAGACTGAAGTCCTTCACGCCATCACCGAGCTTAGCCGTCACAAAGCTTCAGGGCCGGACGGTCTTAACAATGACTTCTACAAAGATACGTCCGCTTTACTGGCTCCGGCGCTGGTTCACGTGTGCAATCAAATATTGCACGGTTCTCCTATGCCACCTTCCTTTCTAGAAGCGATGATTATCCCTCTTCGGAAAAAGGGTGATTCGCCGGACGCACTTGACTACAGGCCGATCTCTCTGCTCCAAACCAGCTACAAAATTTTTGCGAAAGTGCTGGCCTCCCGACTACAGCGCGTCTTACCTACACTCATCGGGGAATCGCAACAAGGTTTTGTTCGAGGTAGACAAATGCAAAAACTGGTCATGATGATGACTGCCCAACTCGCTTCAGCGGAGGAGAGGGCGGATCTATCAGCCGACTTAAGCCGATCTATTCTCTTACTTGACTTTCGCAAGGCGTACGACACTGTGGACCGAGATTTTCTATACGCGGCATTACAAAGCTTTCAGTTTGACGAAGTGTTTATTACGCTCGTCACCCGGATGCATACCGGAACAACCGCTCGGTTTCTGGTGAATGGGGAACTTTCTGAACCAGTTCCTGTCCGGTCCGGAATACGTCAGGGGTGTCCTCTCGCACCGCTTTTATTTCTACTTGTGGTGGAATTACTTGGGCTGGCTATTCACCAGGCGCCCTCCATCCGGGGTATTCCGGTGCCCAAGGCCTGCGAGGTGGTGCATACATTCTCCGCGTTTGTGGACGACTCCACCATATTCCTTGAGCATGCCAATCAGTTGGCGCCTGCGTTGGAGCTAGTCTCTAGATTTGGACAACTCTCGGGCCTTCATGCCCAGCCTGCCAAGAGCAAATTGATTTTTTTAAACACGGCTATCAGGCTACACCAGTATGGTGGCATCTCAGTCTTACAACACAGAGAGACAACGCGATACCTGGGGTACGAAGTGGGGACAGGGGCATTATTCGATCGAAACTGGGCGCTTCGGCTTCAGAAAATCCGTCGGCGGCTTCTCACTGCAGCGAAAGTAGCGACTAGTGTGCAAAATCGTGTCCTCATTCTTAACGCGATCATTTTACCGGCTATCCTGTTCACCGCGGCCGTCTTCGATGTGCCGAGCTGGGCGAGAACGGAGATATCTCGGCTGTACCGCCAATTCCTGTGGGCGCACGCTTCTGTGCCTGCCGTACGTCGGCACAAAATTAACCCGGGTCTCCTCTTTACGCCCCAGAAGGCAGGCGGGGTTGGTCTGGCCTCGTTCGAAGTAGCCGTCAGAACTCAGCGGACGAAGCACGCGTTGCGTTGGCTAACGCAGCCGCATGACAAATATTTTACAGCGTGGCGGCGCTGGACATATAGCGTGGGAGGTTCCACATCGGCTCTCGTCCCGGCGCTCCATCCGTCTGCTTCAACAACGTTTGACATCAGGCGAGGACCTGGTCGTTCCTCTCTGGCGCAGGATCTCGAACGGCTCCTAGCACCCTCCCCTGAACAAGTGCTGTCGATTCGGGCCAGATTGGACGCGCATCACGCTCGTATGTCTGTCGGGGCGAGCAGTCAGTGGGACGGTGACGAATGGTTAATTTCATACCATCAAACGTTTCCTGACCATCCCGCTGTTGCTGATCACCGGATGGATACATTAGCCGCTTTCTGGGGCCGCTTTCACTGGGATGGCAATCCTTGGATTCAAGGGCCAGACGGCAAGCCCCTAGAGCGGGCCAAATATGCCCGGATACCTCCATGTTCACTGCGCAGTCTGTGCATTCGGCGACTGGGGTCACATGAATTTCAATTTACGTTCCCGTCTCTCGGCGGTACTTCGTCTCGGCATATGCATTGTAAATTACAACGTTGGGCGACTTCGATCCTGCTCTCGTCACCCCACCTTGCTGTCGGTGCGGGACCGGTAGAGCCCGGGCTCGTCTTACGTCATCCACCGCCGTTTCGGCGCGCTTATAAATGGTCCCGGGTGCGAGCTGATTTAATTGTCGGGTCCTGTCGGGACCCTGTCGAGTCCGCGAACTCGGCGATTCGCCTCCGCCAAGATGTCAATGGAATCCATTGGTCGATTGACGGGAATTTACCAGAATTACGGGGGTCGCCTCAGCAAGTGTCTAACTACTGGGAGCATTCGTACCATCGTACCTTGGTGTTTCATGCCCACCCGGAGCTTCACCGTTTCCCTTGGAGTGTGCCAGAGACGGTGGCCAATGTAGATGTGTGGACAACGCTTATGAAGCAAGCGTTTCACGTTCATAAACGCCTTCTGCACCCTGGCCTCCAGTCCTGGTTGAAGGACTATGACGCGCAGGCGGTATCGAATAGTTGGTAGTCAGCTGCATCAAATCAAACGCCTTCCCAAGTTTGGAAACACGCAAACGGGCTAACGGAGTATCAAGTCTGGACATGCTATCGTATCGCGACAAAGCAGCTAAATCTATACCATGCCGGTCGCACGCTGGACAACAGTTGTCGTACGGTGCTGCACTGCCGGGGACGCAAAGAGACAGCGGCGCACATTTTCTGGGAGTGCCCAATCGCGCAAGCGTGTTGGTGTCACTTGATAGGACACTGGACCGGTGGGGGTGCGACGAACGCAGTTCTTTCCACCTTCTTTCAGCACTGCGCCAATCGCAAAGCCCCGCCCATTCCACGTCAGCTGAGTTTGCGGTTGCAAAGCCGTTTTCAAGATGACTCTGACGCCGCAGCAACAGAATTCGAACGGATCTGGTTCATATTAAGCTCCATCTGCCAAGAACATTTGTGGACCGAGCGGAACTCGGCGGTCTTTAGAGGAGCCGTGACTACTCCATCCGCAAGTGTCCAAACGTACTGGAAACGCGGTGTTCGCCAGCTACGGGCAATTGCAATACGCGAGCATCGAGCCGCGGCTACGGCCGTACGAGGGGCCCGACTTCATGCCTGTCTTGAACTTCTGATTCAAGAGCCCCGTGGACACCCGCCCTACGCGGGTGTCAGCCACGATCCGCTGCCGCGACCGGCGCTCATATCCTGGCTCAGGATTTTTCAGACCTCTTGTCCACATTAAATATGTCAATAGATGATCATGAAACTCCTCCTCCACTTCTACCACCTGCCTCTACTAATCAAGCAATCCAGAAGCAGTGATGCCACTCTGAACGACGCAGTTGAACGTCTTGGACACCAGTGAAAGTGCTTTTTATGGCCCGGAAACTGATACAACGATCAGGATCGACAGCCTCCCAGTATCTCGCAGCCGCGTGTGGAGAGACTGTGCGATGCGTAGCTGGAGATGACACAGAAGCTCAGCGATACAAATGGCAAGTGCAGCAGAAACTCAGCTCGCCTGCCACTCGTTGATGAACAATTTGAGCAGCTTCTACCGGATTTTTTTCTCTCGTGTTTCCGTCCACCAGATCGACGCGCAGCTTGCTTGCTCAAGAGCACGGAGTTACCGCGTCACGACCGGTTCCATACTAACTTCCATATACAATAAATCATTTGTGCAACAAGTTGCAGCGCAGCGCTGTCAACAGTGATCACAATTCCTTTTGCAGTCCAGTGCGCATTATCCGTTCGCCCCCATATCCACCGCAAGCCCATGAAGCTCCTGAACCTCAATGCACTCTTCTTGAGCGCGTCGCTTTTCTTCGCGGCGGATGTCGCTTGGGCCTCTGACGCGTCACCCGAAAAACTGGACTTGGACTCCATCGAGGACACAAAAAGTCATCGTCGTGGTCTGTTGCGTGGACCAGCAGAGGAGCGCATGGCTCCAGGGGAGCCATGCGCTGAGGGGACTGCGCGCATCATAAGGGAAGTATGGCCGAAGATCGAGAGCATTGGTATGAGCACAGAAACAGTGGCGGAGAATGCGGGCCATGTCGCTATACCTTCAGCGTCGGGTGAGAGGATAAATGGCTGGGGCAGGGACCATTTGTTGGAAAAATACGGTTCGGTAATCGATGGGGCAAACCAGGGTCGAGCCTACACAGAAGCAGACATCTCCTTTCTTCGCAAGGTCGATGACGCTATTAGGAATTCCCTCGTCAAACCACTACGCACAACCGAATCGGTGGAGGAGGCCGCAAAGGAGCTGGCGTTGAGGGAACAAGTCGAACGTGCACTCAACAATGTTGTTGCCAATAGGCGATTCGAAGGGGCTGGACGCGCCACAGAGTAAGGAAGCGCCGTCTGCTCTTTCAAGTAACCGCACGGGAACCCGAGAGGAAGCCACTGCGACGGATTTGACAGCTCACGACGCCCAACAGTTCGTTCAGCACGCGCACGCACTGGGCCAGAGCATCCAGCGGGAGTAGCAACAGCACAACGAAGATCGAGTATCTGGCCCAACTCTGAAGACGGTCTTTCACTTACATTTCATGGACCATTTGCTTCAATATTCTATGAATCGATCGTACTAATATTATAGCACACGTTCGTCTTTTGCAATCTGTTCTTTTCTTTTTTTACTGATGAGTCGGCAGTGGGGCGTTGTGTCGCTCGGTGCGAACTCTGATAGTGAGAGGGTGGGTGTAGCAGAGGTCAACAAGACCTGCATACTCACGGCAACGACGACAAGCGACAGTGCTGCGTTGTTGACATTGGTCGTACTGTTACGGCTCGGGCTCTCGTTGGACAGCATGACGTGCGTGTGCATGAGCTGGAACAAGTGCCTCCAGACTTAGACCGCTGCTACGTACAGTCAGTCACCTGCGCTCGTTCGTCCCGTTCGCGCGCTGTTTGACGTGGCGCGACCGACGCCAGACACGACTCCGCGCACGTGCATTGGCGAGTCACGTGGACCTTCGCGATCGCCGACAAAGTGAAGCTGCTGGCACTCGCGTGGAGGCCGGTGCTTCCTCCTCGCAACGCCCGTTAGACGCACAAGCGCATTGTAACGGGGCGAGCCCGTTACATTTTTCAAGGGTAGTGATTTTTTTATCCACACTTTTACTATTTTAGCCCCCTGGAACCAAAACAGGGTGTATTTTACAACATATACGGAATCAATAATGGTTACTATATCAATTGGTATTACGCACTACCATTCACTTTGTAACTTCACAACTACCATAAGGAATTGCTTGATATTTAATGGATTCTGATGGGTTCTTCGATGTCAAGTATCCTTCAGCAAGAATATGTTCACGGCTCTCCAATTAAAGGCGCACAAGCTTAAGTTTTCTCTTTCTATCTTCAGGTCCGACTATAAAAAAGCGAAAATGATTGTTGTGTGCAACTGATTAGGATCACACAAGTCTACTGCTGTCGCGCGAAAGACCAAGACAAAATGTACAGGATGCGAGCACCGACTCGTAGCGCGACAAATCGGCGTTGACAAGACGTGGCAGGTGACTCGACATGAAAGAGAGCACAACCACGACATATCCACAAACCTCGACATGCATTCTCGCGCTAGACGGCTAACAATTGAGCAGCAAAGCAAGCGCATTCGACTGAAGAGAGCAGGTATTTGCGGCCAAAAGAGCAACTTGCGTTACATAGATAGGAATATCCAGACTTCTGCAGCGTAAGCAGGTACATATATAATGACAAACAGAAGAAGAACAGAGAGCACTTGAATGAACGTATGCCGCTCAAAGCGCTGTTCGACGAGCTGCAAGCAAAAAACTACTGCTATGATCTCAATCTTGACGCAACAGATCAAATATGCCGCTTGATACTTGCAAATTCTCAATCCATCGCTCTTGCTGCAGGGTTCTGTGAAGTCATCGTACTCGACCGCACGTACAAGACAAACAAGCTCATGATGCCTATGCCCAATTGTGTCAGCGTCACCCATTTGGCAAGTCATTCCTCATTTGCACAACATTTATACCAAGCGAGGACGAGAATAATAACGAATGGGCTCAAACCTATTTTTAGGAAGGTGCATAAGAGTCTAAGATATGACAAAAACTCCGCGAATTCTGGTCAGCGACAACAATTTGGCTCTTCAAAACGCTGAGCCATAAGTATTTTCGAATGCAACAAGATTGCTGTGCCGCTCGCACGTAAATAAAAATGTTGTTGCCAGGTGCAAAGTTCACTAAACAAATGGCGATGAATAAAAAAGATTATTGCGGACTGGAGCGCTCTCTGCTGTGCATCAAGTGTCGAAGCTTTTGAAGCACAATAGGACGAATTTTGGATCAAATACCGACATCTCGCTTTCGTCACAATCTACCTAGATAGAACGTGCGTCAATCACAAAGATAAGTTTGTTGAAGCGTGGGTGAAAAACGGCTTTCACCTTGGCAGTTTTACTACATCTAGAGATGAGTCAGTACCTTCGTACCTGACGCGTTTTTTGCGATCGTCAATTTGGTGATCTTCTCGCAGTGTTTTAAAGTCTCCACTTGGCAATCGAGAACCAAGTTGTGGTGCTGATCATGATGCACGTGATGATTTTATGAAACGAACAACATTCGCAGCAGCGCCCATATACACCCAGGTGGTGTACAAGGTTTCATCTTATGCGCTCACGCTCGTCCACGAACACCATGCATCCACCTATCAATGTAATATCAAGTTCCGATTGAATATGGGCCTACCGTGCAAGCACTATGCTCAAAAACTAATAGACGCTGATGCTCCCTTCACACAAAATAGTTTTGACTTGCATTGGTGGTTGGAAAAGTATAATTCTGCTTCTGCTGCAGAAGATGTAAAGAGCAAAATTGGATTTGTTAACTTGGTTAAACATCTATTTTAAGTTTTTACGCAGCACCAACCCATAAGAAAATTTCTAGTCGAGCCCACATCACAGATACAATATTGACCGGTCCAAGAATGTCGGTGAGAGATCCAGTCGAAACAAAACCAAAAGGAATAACATCCAGAGCAACAAACCAACAAAAGCAGCTGCGAGACCCGTCTGCGCTTGAGTATATCGAGGGGTCTGCTATCTTGACTCGGAAGTGCAGTACCTGCAGCCAATATGGGCACAACAAGCGCTCATGAAATAATTTTGCAAGGGTGTAAGAGAACCCCGTAACGTACACCGATCACCGAATCGGTTAGAGACTTAGGCAAAGTAAAACGCGCGTCACTCATTGGTCATGGCGGACAGAGCATTGTGGTCTATGTATTGTCAACTGCATGGTTACAAACACACCAAGAATTTAAGAAAAGAATAAAGCAAAATCGGAATCGCACCTGCGGGTCATACTGTACGAGAAATCATCATGTTCGCAGTCTACTTTGTTCCCGATTATCGTAAAGCTGATTTAGGGCCAGTTTTTTAGTGAACGACACGTTTTTGCTATTCTTGTTATTCTTCGTGTGATATCTTTATTTAGGTATGCATTTAGATTATGTACCAGCTTGTTATCCGATTATTACGCAACCACGGCACTGTGAAACGTTCGTATGAAGCACTAAAAAAGTTCTGCAAAGTCGTATAGCGCCGCCTGAGATCACGCTCGTGCGCAACTGTCGTTAGCAAGATTCTACATCTCTAGCATCCGTCTTCCGGACATCCTAGGAGTGTTCGGCATCCGCTTGACATTATAGGAGATATATTTTCATTGATGTCAGCTCTAACCGAGATTATAATCCGTCTTTTCGACAATACTTACATTGTATAACACTTATTTACCCGCTTGTTTTCTGCAGCAAGAAATATTTCGTGAAATTTCGGTTAAACTTTCTCTGTTAATCTCACCTACTTCTTGTAGTACTGCAAACATTTATATACAGACTAGCTTCTAGATATCCGTATCTAGAAGCTCGTACAACTGCAACCTTGGTGTCTCACTATCCGTGATAACATTGTCGTTCGCCAGTTGAACGCACAATATGTCAACGCTTATATTCCCAATAGACGTAGGACAATGTTGTACGCAAGATTATACTGTTATACAAACGCCATACGGGGCGTGTGACATTGTGCATCGCACTATGCTATAATAAATAGAAGGTCCCTGTTCCGTTCTAGGGGGTGAAAATATCATTACCCCATATTAATATCAAATTTGAAAATCAAATTTTTCGATACTATTCAATTGACACTACTCGTAAGGAGTAAGGCTGAAGGATGATGACCCTTGAGGGAATTAATATTTCTTTGATGGGTTGCTCCAGTTGATGGTTGATGTTCATGGTACATCAACCAGAATAACCACCAATCACTAATGGGACACGCGCAATGGGTGGTGAGCAAGAAACTCACATAGGAGATTGAAGTTTAATAAAGTTATCTCAAGACAAAGATGGTTGATTAAAAAATATAACTGTATTAAATACAGTTCTACTTTTTTACTTCGACAAACCTTTCGAGTTTTGCCTAATTCGCTGCGCTTTTTCACTCCACGTGTACGTATGGCCTTGTGCACACAACATTGTGTTGAATTGGCGCAAGCTGTTCCCCGTTGCACGGAAGAAACGCGGACGCGTGTGGTTTAATCACATGTCGCCTGTTTTTCTGCCTGCGTAGTTGCGCGCAGTGGTCCGTCATGACTATTCACCTTTTCGACTTCTCAAGCACTTGTCATTACCAAATCTTGCAAGTGAAATCGCGTGCATGTCGACCACAATCAGAGACTTGACCGACCCGATACTCTACGCACGTGGCCGTAGCTTCCGTGTAACGGGGCCACCTTGTGCCAATTCAACACAATGTTGTGTGCACAAGACGTCACGGACACGTGGAGTGAGGAAGCGCAGCGAATTAGGCAAAACTCGAAAGGTTTGTCGAAGTAAAAAAGTAGAACTGTATTTAATACAGTTATATTTTCTAATCAACCATCTTTGTCTTGAGATAACTATATTAAACTTCAATCTCCTATGTGAGTTTCTTGCTCACCACCCATTGCGCGTGTCCCATTAGTGATTGGTGGTTATTCTGGTTGATGTACCATGAACATCAACCATCAACTGGAGCAACCCATCAAAGAAATATTAATTCCCTCAAGGGTCATCATCCTTCAGCCTTACTCCTTACGAGTAATGTCAATTGAATAGTATAGAAAAATATCATGTTCGAAATTGATGCAAATATTTTAATTTTATGGAACGGGCTTACCCCGTAAGCCCCTTCAGTCACACCAGTAAGTGATTTGATTGGTTAGTGACAATATTAGCACCGTTGGGTTGCTCCGTGGGGAAGAGAGCACTTGTTGGTGTTACCCAACGCATTTAGCCATTCTTCGCATGACGAGTTCGTCCATGCGCTGCGCGAACAAGGCCGCCAGTAAAGAGGCTGCACGGATGCGTGCAGCTGGAGAATAAGATGTCCAAGACTCAGCGGCACATGTCAAGTCACCTGCTGCTGCCAGTAAGCAGCCTGCGACTCTCGTAGTTGCAGATACACGTG